ATCAATCGTGTCAAGTGTATGACCAATAAAGCAGCAATGGAACTAACAGCCAATCAGGATCGGACCTAAGTCGGCCGGCAATATTGGTATGGACAAGTGCGTGAGGTTGATCGATCTGAATAAATATCAATCGACAACACCCGTGGAATCTTCCATAAATTAACGATGCGCATGTTGGCAGAACGTACGCACTGGAATCGCAGGCGCTTACGCAACATCTCCCCGCAATCCAGCTTTGATCGTGGCCCGAGAACAAAACAGGCTTACGGACCGCAGTCGGATCGTCACAACCGGGCAGGGCTTGTGCAGTGTCACTGTGTCTCTTCGTGATTTTCCAAACTCTCATTTGAGTTTTCAACACTGACTCTATCGGCTGCAGCAATTTGTTCCTAACTGATTCTGGGGCAATTATACGAGAACCCCTTAGTATGCATCCGTCATGCAGACTCACTTCAGAACGACAATTAACGTAAGGACGAAGTTCCTCCGAGACTTTCATTGGTCAGCCTTGCAATGTCATCCGTTTAACTTGGGACAATACCGGGTCTCTGTCCGTTTCGTTTTTAACCTCCATGCTAGATACTAGAGAGTTATCTAAGCGCTGCAGTAAGAGCACAAACTCTACTGGTACTTCGTTCAGCACTTCAGCTGTGGTACGGAGCGGCAAATGACCTAAGGTATCTTCAACTAGATTTTTCTGACCGAGCGCGTTCAATTGTTCCATTCCCCTATTTTTGCCTAATAGGGACAGCAACGGGTTATGGTCGGTATGTATTTCAAAAACGGTACCCCAAAGGTATTGGTGAAATCTTTTGATACCGAATACGACGGCCAGTGCTTCCGTATCAAGTCGAGAGTAGTTATTTTCCGCCGGCTGGTAAGTGCGTGACGCAAAGGCTATCGGGCAGATAGTCCCGTCAGAGTCTGCCTATCCGAGTACGGCACCTATCCCAATTGGTGAGGCCACGCATTGCAGTATCCGCGGCTTTCCAGGATCATAGTGTATTAATACCTGTGATGAGGTCAGCAGACGTTTAGCTTCTTCGAATGCTCTTTGCTCACTTCGGGACCACCTCTACCTAGTTCGCTTATTCAGTAGGTCATAGAGTGGAGGAAGAATGATAGACCAATTCAGTATGAAACGACGGTAGTGGGATAGTATTCCTATGAATGATCGTAGTTCAGTTTCGTTAAGCGGTACGGGTGTATCCAGTATGGGTTTCACTTTGTCAGGTAGCTGATGTAGCCCGTTCTTATCGAGTCGATAGCCCAGGTTATCAACAGATTCGGTCAAAAAGAGGCACTTGGATTTCTACAGTCGTAGCCCTTTATCTAAAAGACGCTTTAAAACGCGGTGTCATGTTCCCAGGTGCTCCTTTTTCATTCGGCCTGTGATGAGTATATCATTCGGGGACGCACATGTGTTTGGAATATCTTTCACCAGGTTCTCTGTGATCCTTTGTAAGATACCCGGGGCTTCAATAATACTAAAAGACAATCTTATGTATTTGTAAAATCCTGTGTGTGCTAATTGTAGTGAGGTATTGATAGCGTTCATCAAGTTCTACGTGAGAGTAGGCATGACTCAAATCAACTTTAGAAAATTTATTTCCTCCGACTAAGGTGACGTATAAGTTCTCAAGCCTCGTTAACGGATATCGATCGATGAGTGNGTGAAGAATTGTTTTTAACGAATCTTCACAGACAAGTCGCACCTCGTTTGACAAATTCGGTAGTTGCAGGCGCGTATGCAACACTCGTGCATTATACTCCTTGCGTTTGAAGGGGAAGATAGCGAATTCATTTGGACTGCGGTTGCACGAGCCCCACCGTTTCCCGATTCTCAGCCATATATTGCTCAGCGTCTATAACCCTCGGTTATCGTGGTATCGGGGTCCTCATCCAGTCCTCATCCGGTGCCAATGTGACTCAGTGCCCTGGTTAGGAGTTTTACAGCCTCTTGCTCTCAATATTCCAATCTTCATTCTACCCTTTGAACCAAATGGGCTGCTAAAAGACATCAAGCAAAACCGGCTCATAAAAGTGCATGGTTAGTGGTTGTACCAACTGGTGGATATATTTATTCAAACCACTTAAACATATCTGCTGATCTGTGCTTGGATGGTCTTGAAATACAACCGAACTACGTGATTTGTGCCCAGCGGAAGTGACTGTTGTTGTCACATTAGGTGCTGCACTTAGCTATCCCGGTTCAACTTGCCTTGTATATTTCGACATCGGTGCGGATTTATAGAATTGAATTAGGTCTTTCATTGTAACGCCTTATTCGGTAATGTACATCATAATTTCACCGGTTCCGAACACAAATCTCACCTTTTTCAACAACAGTTCCAAACTGGCTTCCGAACTGGCTTGACTGGACACTTCCTGGATCGCCGCACTGTGGTCGAACGCATTCAGACTAGTGAGCAAACCCAAACTGAGCGGTTCTTCCATCTCGGCCAAATTGAATCCGATCAATGCTTCCAATTGTTGCCAATGTCGTGGTTTCAAGGTCGGATTGCGCAAATCCATAATGGCCGGCATCTGAAACACAAAAAGGGGGAATAAAGTACACTTTTATTTGTGAATAAAAAGCCAGAGATGTATTCTGATCATGGTCCAGTATAAAATGGAAATAATCCAATGATAAAATGCTTCCGTTGATTGATCATGAACTATTCGGAATAATTGCACAGTCAACTGGTTTTATAAGTATTTAGCCGGCTCTAGTTGGCACTTGGCTTGAATGTGAAACATAGAAAACCATTTTTTTACAAGGGTGTTTGTTTGTGGGCGATTAGATAGAATTTCACCCACATGCAATATTTTTTCTATTCCAATCGAAGTCAGGAATGAGTATACAGTTCTTCTTCCGGGTCGCCGATGCCATTGCACAATAAAGGTCAGAAGTACTGTCAGCATTCAACTATTGTCTCTTACGAGGATCTACAGTGCAAATTCTTTATCAGCTTTGAAACACGTGTTATCTACGGCTGATATTGAAACGACATATTAGCTACACATTTTCCCATAAATTGTAGCCAAAACCCACAATGCTTTAGCCTCGACGTACAAACATTACTCATACCGCTGTGGGTGAGTCAGATCAAAATGTTTCGGAATATTTTGAGATCAACGAATGGTGAAAAAAAAAATTATTTTCTACAAATGTTCATGTTGCAAAGCTTGATTGAGAAATGAGGTATGGCGATCGTACGCTGCACCACACATTGATTGGAGAAGGTTTAACGGATGTACCCGTATCGTCAAACCGCTTGAAATATCGTGAACAACCTCAGTGTTTCCGTGTAACATGCCGGCACTCTGGTGAGTAAAATTTTCAAATGGAACATAAGCGGCACATTATTTTGCATTCACAAACCATGATACCGCAAAAAAAAATGAATGCATACCGTTTCGTATCTCCACTTAAAGTGAACTCTGTTCATGAGAAGTGGATACACTAACAGGCCAAAAGTACATTCTCATTATTATTATTATTATCAGTTTATTAGGTCTGCAACATTTGATATAATTACGACGGTTGAAGCTCAATAATTACGGATTTTATCTAAAGCTTGATGGGAAAAGGTGTTCGGTGTGTGAAGAACCGTAATCCGTTCGGGGCCGGTGCCCAGCTCATATGATGTTTGGATGAGATTAAACGTCCAAGTCGTCCAGTACATCGTGATACCCAATCGAGCCAATGACCACGGCCACAACTATGCACCATATCTCAGTGATGTATGGTTTTGGTCTGTGATTTCATGCTTCGATTTTAGCAGTAATCTTTTGGATGCTTATTTAGGTCTAAATTAAGTGTCAAATAGATCATGGTAGAAAAATGATTTGGAGATAAAAATAAACAAACCGGCTGACATGCACAGAGAAAAATGAGGAAGTGACTTTTTCATACAACAGAGTCAGAGCTTTTTTGTTTTAGATAATTTTAAGTTGTTTTGGGAGAGTATTTTAGGATGTAGAGAGACAGGAAAGTGGTAGACCTCTCTTCTACTGTACGCGATTACGAGCTATATCTGAAAGTACGGTGTAGCTGTTATGCAACAAACCTATCAGACTACTCACTTATCTCTACTACGTTACGGTCTGGTCTTCATGGCACATTCCGCGTTCAGTGTGAGTAAAAAGTGAGCTGAGTGGACACGCCAGACACGTGTCCGAAGCCTGGCAAATGGTGTATTGAATTGAGCGTTTTGAGGGAAGAGGTTTTCCGGATCTGACACTCTCTGGTCGTTGCTGGATCGTTACAAGTCAGTGAAGTCAAATGGTTCTTTGAACCAATCATCGACTTATCCATTCATGTGTTAGATACAATATTGATTTCAGAAAAATAACAAAGTTGGTGATCATTCCCACGACTGGGTTTGAAAGAAACACAACGATCGGACAGTCTTGCTGCTGCAATCCAAAGGAACAAAGGTTTTTAATAGATTATCACTTGTCCTGAAGTGCCCCCGATACAGTGCCCAAAGAAATTTAACACTTCTCATATCCAACGTATCTCGGAAAACGTTTCTACAAACCGCTCCTGATTGGAGACTCCAAGAATACTCTAATAGTGGTATTCGAAAATGCAACGCTAAAGGAGTTTCTGTTACAAAGTAAAAATTTGATTTATACAATCATGGCCTAAGTAAAATCGTTTTTGTTCTTATTTCGTGAATACTGAGAAGATTTTTCACATCGTAAGAATTACGCTAGTTTTCCTTTTCCCACCTCCCTGATTACTGCAGTCCGTACACGGCTGCTTTTTCAACATTATGATGGAATTTCTAGAATAACAGAAAAGTTACTTACTTTCAAATAGGAAGCGAATGCAAAGTTTACTCAGCAATACACCCTCCTCATTTTGAAGAAAACTGTGGGCAACTGATTTTGGTTAGGCGATGTAGTGTTCAAGGAATTTCGTTGAGAGGGTTGAGTGTCCAAGGCAATTTGGATTCACCATCCATCCGGCGATGCAGTGATGAATCTTTCGCATTTGACTCACAATTACTTGTGAGTAGCGATGTGAGATAATTGGTTTATATTGATTTGAACTGACTATCTTTCAGACTTCACCTTCATGCACAATCCTCAGTTAATCGATTCAACCATGCACTCGGAAGCACTAGACTCAAGTTTCGCTCTCAGTACAGCTCATCAGTTTTGCATATTCACCGTCCCGTCCGGGACTTGAACTCCGGACCCATCGCATGGAAGGCGTGTGCGTTACCACTGTGCCAACCAGCTCATGCCATGGCTGAACCAAATTGCCAATTCATGTTTGTTCAGGTGTTGTCTTCAGTGATAGTCAGTTCAATTATCCCACACCACTACTCACAAGTAAGTGTGAGTCAAATGCGAAATATCAATCTGGCCTTGTAGGTTCGTTGGCGAATTAGTCTGTATCTGCATGGAAGTCCTGACTTGGCAGTGATGAATGCCAAATTTCAGGTAAATTGAGGCTGAAGGTGTTCAGCGCAAAAATTCAAAGGTGAGATGGTGAGATGTTTCACTTACACTGGCACTTTGGCACTGTTCACGGGACCGATGGAACTAGATTCCAATAAAGTAAAGTGAGTAGAAAC